GTCGGAAGAAAAAAGATAGTAATTGAGATATGAAAAGTAAAGGCAATATATGTTAACTGGCTCGGCTTTTAATTTAATACGATCAAGTTTTAAAAAAAAAATCTTTTTTTTTCTTTTTCTTTTCTTTCGTTTTTTTTTTTTTTTTTGCTATTTGTTTTAAAGGAATTAAAATGCACATTAGTGTTACCTCGACGAATGTCCTAACCACCAACCGCTTAAGATATGTGGTAAAAAAATTATTTCTGCTTCGGAGAAAAATATTAAATAAATACATGAAGGTTAAAAAAATGTACATTTACACAGGTACATGTAGGTTAAAGGTAAACTGCAATAATGTTCATGTAGCTGCGCTACGTGTTTTAAAAATCTCACCCCTTCTCCAATTTAAAAGAAAATGGAGATTATATTTCAACAGCCCCACAAAATGAAAAGTTGTTTATCAATGATGACTATGATAACTCAGACTGGAACCCAAATTATGGTCATATTTCTGGATGACTATTACTGAGAGTTATTTTAAAATCTTTTGCTATTTTGAAGTTCCTTTTCCACTTTGTGTCGAAGATAAGTTAGCCCGGAACTAAAATTATGATCATATTTAACGTTCCGGGTTAGCATTACTGGGCGCATTTTCAACTATTTATGCTACTTTGAAGTTCTCTTTCCTTTTCATGACGAAAATAAGTTAGCCCGGAACCAAAATTATTATCATATTTAACGTTCCGAGTGAGCATCACTGGGCGCATTTTCAACTATTTTTGCTACTTTGAAGTTCCTTTTCCACATTATGACGAAGATAAGTTAGCCCGGAACCAAAATTCTGATCATATTTAACGTTCCGGATAAGCATTACTTGGCGCAATTTCAACTATTTTGCTACTTTGAAGTTCTCTTTCCTTTTTATGACGAAGATACATGTAAGTTAGCACGGAACCAAAATTATATGATCATATTTTACGTTCCAGGTTAGCATCACTGGGCGCATTTTCAACTATATTTGCTTCTTTGAAGTTCCTTTTCCACATTATGACGAAGATAAGTTAGCGCGGAACCAAAATCATATGATCATATTTAACGTTCCGGGTTAGCAATACTGAGTGCAATTTCAAGTATTTTTGCTACTTTGATGTTTCTTTTCCACTTAATGACGAAAATAAGTTAGCCCGGAACCAAAAATTATGGTCATAATAAACGTTCCGGGTTGCATTTACTGAAAGATATTTCATATATTTTAGCTACTTAGTTGTTTGTTTTCCATTTTTTTACGAAGCTAAGTTAGCCCGGAACCAAAAATTATGCTCATAATAAACGTTCCGGGTTGCAATTACTGAAGGATGTTTCATATATTTTAGCTACTTAGTTGTTTGTTTTCCATTTTGTTTCGAAGCTAAGTTAGCCCGGAACCAAAAATTATGCTCATAATAAACGTTCCGGGTTGCAATTACTGAAAGATATTTCATATCTATTTGCTACTTAGTTGTTTCATTTCCAGTTTTTGACGAAGCTAAGTTAGCCCGGAACCAAAATTATGCTCATAATAAACGTTCCGGGTTGCAATTACTGAAAGATATTTCATACATTTTTGCTACTTAGTTGTTTGTTTTCCAGTTTTTGTCGAAGCTAAGTTAGCCCGGAACCAAAAATTATGGTCATAATAAACGTTCCGGGTTGCATTTACTGAAAGATATTTCATATATTTTTGCTACTTAGTTGTTTCTTTTCCATTTTTTTACGAAGCTAAGTTAGTCTGGAACCAAAAATTATGGTCATGATAAACGTTCCGGGTTGCAATTACTGAACTTCCTATTTCAAGTTACCATCATGTGTAGATGTAGAAGGGGCGAGGGTGTTAGCTCCCCCTTAGTTATTTAAAGAATTTAGTTAAACAATCGAATTAAATTTTGATCCTCTCGCATACTCGCTACCATTAGTGTAGCTACTAGCGAGCATGCGAGCAAATCTAGCATCTTAAACCATATTCAAATACATGATTTGTATAATCATATATGTGACCCCCCCTCCCCCCCCCCAAAAAAAAATCAGGTTTGGAGACGATTAAAGTTTTTATTTTCCTTATTTATAAAGAACATTTCTGAGTTAGTACTTCTTTATTGGGTGTATCCCTATTCCTTTTTTTTAGAAGCATGTTTGAATTTAAGACTGATATGTTTAAGTATTTTTTTTTAATTCATTTTAATCGATTTCTATTGCATACATATATCTTTAGCAGATTAGTCCATTTTTATCCAAGTTTTGTGTAAAAAAAGAGATTAATATAATAGAGTTATTGGTGTACAATCTAGTTTACATTTAGCAGAAACAGAAAAACGGAGCTACATGACAATATACAAGTAACTTTTCTTTTCATAGTTGTTTGTATTATTGGATAAGTATTTTAGAAAAGATATAAGGCATACATGTAACATTTTTTCTTGTTCTTTGTCCAAGTTGATCAACAAACTCTCTCTCTCTCTCTCTCTCTCTCTCTCTCTCTCTCTCTCTCTTCCACGAAGAGGAAGTCACCTCTATAAACTTTCTTTAATTTTTTTTAATATGTGTTGTTTCTCTGCTGTTTTTATTATTTACATCGGCTAAAACCAATAAATGCACCAGACTGGTTTAGATCTTTTGAATGTATCCCCCCCTATCCCTCCGTTTTTGTCCCAATAAAAAACAATCAATTGTATATTTTTATCTACTTAGAAAGGGTTTGAATAGATCTTTTTCAATGTTTTAATCTTTAAATGCATACATGACAATGAGCGCATTCTTATTAACTGTTCTCTCCATTTCTATTTGTACAGGTATATACATATATTCACACGGTATGATGTTCATAAATGGATTTAGTTCATTAAAGAAATCATTAATTTACAGTAAATAGTTGATTTATTTAAACGAAAAACATTCTTAATTGTTTTCCTGACACCAGCGTTTCTTAAATTCACCGAAGATATGACATGTCCGCAGTCATCTTAAAGTTAGGACTAAGATTAGGAGGTCTCCTAAGATAGGATAGCTTCGATGGCCTCACTTAAGACTAAGATATGTCGTAAGTTCGTCCATAAGCATGCCTGCAGGTTTTCATTTTAAATTAAGGTTTTACATTCCCATCGAGTTCTAGGGCGGAAATACACGTTTTATCAGAATTAAAGAGAAACCTTTTCTTCTTTTCCAAATAATTATAGTTTTTGAAAGTTCGTAAAAAAATTATATCTATAGGAAAAGTCATTCAAAGATGTCTTTTGAAAAATCAGGTAGGCGATAGAACAAACGTTCGCGGTTGCCTTCCCCACTAAGACTCCTTTGTTTGTTGAACACATTCAACAAATTGTTAATTAAAATATAGAAAATTTCATACCAAGCAAATCAAGTTTTTTGTCTACTGTTCACTGCAGGGGAAGGGGGGGGGGGGGGTGAGCAGACTTCACAATGCTGTTCATATAGATTGTAAAATACATATCTGTGTCTGTAATACATTTCTTCTTCAGTGTTATTTTTACAAATGAATACAAATGTACTTGTACTTACGTGCATAAATAAAAATGAGTTGAATTTTATTCAAAAGTTTTTAGCCGTGTCATTGAAACATTTCCAAGTTGATCATGTGCATGTTTTGTTGACATATAACATTAAATTTAAAAAAACCCCAAAAAACTTCACCTGACGAAGAAAAATAATCAACAGACGGGAAACACTTTTCCTTTGTATTAAATGCTTAAATTATAAAGTCCCTTTTTAGATCCGGCATGCACTTGTTTCCCATTATGTTCTTGTATTTTAATTTATTAATATATTTGGTTTAAAAAAAAAACGCAACTACATGTATGTGTGTTTAAAAAATTGTAGGGAAATTAAAATATTACCTAATGATCAAAGTATTTTATCGTAAATATAAAATGGTGATGTGTGCTTACGGCGATTCGCAAGACTGAGCAATTATTGGTATCGATAGAAGCCAAGTCTATCGTACAATGTAAATCAGCAAGATAGGGGTATATCAATGTAAACAAGTTTCACACCTTCTTTTGTTTACAAAGAATCAAAATAATCAACTGGAATTTCATGGATTAATATAATATTTAGATCAGAGACATTAATAAATATATAATGTCTCTGGTAAAAAGACCGCATATTCTGACTTGAAATGTAAACATATATGTATGTCTTACGATTAAATCCTGCTGTATCATATACGAAGGTATAAAAGAAAGAAGAAATTATATTAAAATTAACAGCCATTATTAAATATAAATAGAGAGTTTAATAGGGTGCTTGGTTGCCCGGAACGTTTTTTACGGCCGGAACCAATCTTACGCGGGCCGGAACGTTTATTATGGCCCGGAACCAATATTATAGGTATTTAGCGTTCCGGCCGGAACGCCAAGTTACCCGGAACGTATATTATGCGACACCCGTAGCAATGGTTTTTAAAAAAAGGGGGGAGGGTGTCAAGTTCCCCAAATTTTACCTGAGGAGCAAAATGAAATCAAACAAAATTTAATTGTAACCCCCCCCCCCCAAAAAAAAAAAAGAAGGGGGTAACTTCCGAGAGTAATCTGACAAGCAAAGGAAAATTATAAAAAGAGTAAAAAGTGATAATTTTCATAACAAATGTATATCAAGTGCTTTGTATGCACGTTGACACTATAAAGAAATAAATATATACTTGCTAAATTATTATCAATCATCAAAAAAGATTTTATTTCTGTAGACAAATGATAATCAAAATTTTGTGCTAGTGTGTAAAATTAAAACCGGATCCATAAAAGTATGGGCCTTCCTTAATAAATTTTCTAAAGTTAATTTTTTTTTTTTGTCTTTTTTATTCAAAACTATTGGAGAATAATTGCACATTGGAATTTCAAATCTGATGAAAAATATGGGACTTCAAAGTCCAAAGTTTTACAGTAAGTTATGGAATCTTATGGGTGCTGAACGTCATGGTGTCGAAAGTATCATGCACCAAAAGCCAAAGATAAACGCATGCGCAGAAAAAATACGTGGCATCCTGTTTCATTTTTAGCCGACGTGGTTGTTACCAAGTTAATTTTTCTGAAACAAGTTCCTATCTCAAGATGGGAATTTTTAATATAGGCATAGCTGTGTTCATTTCAATAATTAGTTTGAAATTAGTTGATTGTTATTTTTTAAATATTGATGCTCACGCTGAAGAATGCTTCTTCGATAAAGTAACATCTGGGACAAAAATGAGTTTAATGTTCGAAGTAGCGGAAGGCGGTTTCCTCGATATAGATGTTAAGGTATGTTATCGTAGACCTCTTCATGCAAAACTAAAGTTATAGCTGTAGGAAAGGGAGGGCGAGGAAGATGCCCATATCTTATTTTGGCCAACATTTGAAGTCATCAGTCAATGACGATCGAGGTCCTGCTATTCCAGCACAATCTCTTGATTAAGCTATTGCTTGAAATATTCAGAATAGCTTGGTAAAGCTATTTTATTTATATGCAGTTTATCTCAGAAACGTATTTTTGTGAGAAATAAACAAAAAAGCAAATATTTGACAATTCATATGTGCAATGGGCTACTAGATGCAAATCTGTAACATTATGGTAGGATTTCATTTGTAATACCGGCGTACGCCGAATGCGCCGCTTGACCTTTCGTAACCCGGCTTGTTACTTCATTTGACCGGGGAAGGTTCGCCGGCGTACGCCGAATGCGCCGGTCTGAAATGACCGGCGAGGAATTCGCCGGTCTTAGAAATATGGCGGGAAGAGAAAACAACTTTGAAAATGCAGATACTTTTACCAAATCGATATGTTCTTTATTTGTTTGCATATTTTGAGCAAATCTCTATTCATATATTTAAAATATGTTTTTATTTTCTGAAAAATAAAATTTTTCATGAGGTCCATGGTTTTTTAAAATTGAATTTCGAATTATTCTACTAAGACATAATGTAAAAAGTGATAAAACTTAATTAATTGATTATCATTTAGCGTAATTATTCATTTTTTAAAAATGTTTTCGCCGGTTTAATTCATTTGCCTCTTAGCCGTTTTACGCCGGTCATATGACCGGCGCAATTCGGCGTGCGCCGATTGGTGACAAATGAAACTGGCCCTATGGTTTTTATATATTTGTCTTCGACCATAACGCTACAGATCCTGTAATGCAAAAAATGTTCAATTTACGGCGCAATATTTTTTTACGCACTTTTGGGGGAGAATTTTTCCACTTTCCAGCATCGGTCAATTAACTGCCTTTCACTCCCTAATTCTAGGCACATTATTTAACTAATCTGTATTTTCTAGGCACATTATTTAACTAATCTGTATTTTTTATCCATCTCCCTACCCTTTATAGTCCTCTCTACAAGTGATAAACTCGATTGCATAAAATTATTTGTTAGATTGCTGAAAATTATTGCTGAAATGGCGCATAATTTTAAGTCATGGGGAATAAAATGTAGATATTAGTATTTATTTGTACTCTGAACTAAACAAATCTGAATTTCAACGCAGAATTTTTTGGGCAGTGTCGTTCAAATATTTGACAAAATTGTCACCTATGTAAACAAGTGCAACTTTTCTGTGTTTTCACTGAAAAAGAAAAATTCCCTCCATCTCGGGACTTGGACTTGGATAAGTTTCACCTATCAATCGTGTTTCTCACTTCATATTTCTGTCATCCGGGCAACCAATCAATAATCTAAACGAATTAAAAATGACAGATCTTTTCCGAACTTGTTCAGAAGACTGATTTAGGGAGAGGGCTAAAATAGGTTTTGCCTGCTGCCCGATCCCATTCACTTTGTCATTTATGTGAATAAAATTTTGTATTAATAAAAAAAATAATTAAAGACTGATTTAACTTCGGAGGCGCATGTGAGACCTTGGTGCCTTAAATAGTCTAGATAAACTCCAAAAATGAAGTAAGAAATTGAGACTGAAAAAGACTACGAAAAAAGAGTCCATGCATGAGCAGATACAAGAAAAATGTCGATTTTTCATGGGTCTACAAAAACTCTCAATGCAAAGTTTTAGAAAGTATGGTAATTAGAGCAGTACTCGGAAAATTTAAAACAAGGAGATATTAAATTCAGTTAAGAAATTTATTCTTACCGGCAGTATTAAACTCGATGTCGTATATCCAAAATCACTATTATGCAAGAGTACAAAGTGATAAATAAGTCAATACATATATACACTAAATGATTTAATAAGGGCAATTATTTATTCAACAAAAATTAAAATTAAGTCACAATTTACATTTGACAAGAGTGTCTAAACCATAAACAGCAATAAAAATGTTAAAATTGAAAGGTAACCTGGAAAGTTTACATGTTATGCCTCCATTTTGAATCGCCACCTACATGTACTAAATACAGCCATAAAGCGGCCATATATTAGGAGAAAGCGAAGGACAATCCATTGTTTGTTTACATCTGGCGCCATTTTGCCACAATGCATGACGGAGCCAAAGACTTCTTATTTGGAGTTCACACCATTTTTGGAGTTCGTCTAGACTGATAAAACTTAGACAAACTCACTTTTGTTCTCTGTCTCACTTTTCCTCTATTAATTCTGTTGGTAAAAGTGAGACTGATCAAAAGTGAGTTTGACTAAGTCAGGCCAGGACTTATTGACTCTTTTTGGTACAGGGTTCTGTACCCTTCCAGTTTGGAATTTTGAATTGAAAGTGTTAAAAACTTGGAAATATTGATCTGATGTCATACATTAATTATGTTGAAATGTTAAATAAAGAGTGACTTTGAAGCTTTATTCCCTATTGATGTCTTTATGTATCATTAAAATTTCAAAATTCAAGTTTGTTTTGATATAGATTAAAAACCACTGTAAAATTTGGTGTACAATGTTTTAGGACCACATTGTTAATGTTTTGGGACCTGACTAATACTAATGTTTTGGGACTCGCCACTAGATGGTCTGGGACTAAAAGAAGTTTCAGGACTTGGATTAAACTTTTTTGAATTTCCAGGGATTTTTTCTACCCATTGTAAATGGGTCTGGTACCAGTTCAGTTAGGAAAAATACAAGCAGGAATTTCTGTCATGTTAGCAAAAGAAATTTATAATTTAATCATGTTAATTATTTAAAGAACAAGATTTTGACCTGTATTGTTTTTAGCTCACCTGAGCCGAAGGCTCAAGTGAGCTTTTCTGATCAAAATTTGTACGTTGTCTGTCGTCGTTGTCGTTGTTGTCGTTAACTTTTCACATTTTTGACTTCTTCTTAAGAACCATTGGGCCAATTTCAACCAAACTTGGCACAAAGTATCTTTAAGAAAAGGGGATGCAATTTTGTTCAAATGAAGGGCCACACCCTTATTCAAGGGGAGAGAATTCAGAAATAGTGAAAATTTTATGGTATGTTTTAAAAATCTTTTTCTCAAGAACCACTGTGCTAGGAAAGATGAAACTTATAGGGAAGCATACTCAGGTAGTGTAGAATCAAATTTGTTCAAATCAGGACCCCCAGGGGTAGGGCGGGGCCACAATGGCCGATCAAAGTTTTACATAGAAATATATAGGAAAATTCTTTAAAAATCTTCTTCTCAAGAACCACTGTGCCGGGAAAGATGAAAGTTATAGGGAAGCATCCTCAGGTAGTGTAGATTCAAATTTGTTCATGTCATGACCCCCGGGGGTAGGGCAGGGCCACAATGGCCGATCAAAGTTTAACATAAAAATACATAGGAAAATTCTTTAAAAATCTTCTTCTCAAGAACCACTGTGCCAGGAAAGATAAAACTTATAGGGAAGCATCCTCAGGTAGTGTAGATTCAATTTTGTTCATATCATGACCCCGGGGGGTAGGGCGGGGCCACAATGGCCGATCAAAGTTTTACATAGAAATACACAGGAGAATTCTTTAAAAATCTTCTTCTCAAGAACCACTATGCCAGGAAAGTTGAAACTTATAGGGAAGCATCCTCAGGTAGTGTAGATTAAGGTTTGTTCAAATCATGACCCCTGGGGGTAGGGTGGGGCCACAATGGCCTATCAAAGTTTCACATAGAAATGTAAAGGAAAATTCTTTAAAAAATCCTCTTCTCTGGAATAGCAATGGGGCCAAAACATGGAATCCAAGTTTTACATAGAAACATTTAGAAAGAAATCTTTATAAAAATCTTCTTTTCAAAAATAGCAAAGCCATGATCAGTCCTATTCATAGCGAAGCATTCTCAGGTAGTGTAGATTCAATTTTGTTCAAGTCATGACCCCTGGGGGTAGGGCGGGGTGACAATGTAAGTTCAAATGTAAAGGGCAATAAAGCCAAATGTAGTCAAAGAAATATGCAAGCATTCTTAGTTAGTGTAGATTCAAGTTTGTTCAAATCATACCCTCTCCCTTTTAAGGATATTTTGGGACCACTATTGGGTTTCAACTTTTTAATAATAAACTGATTTATGCTTTTTTCCTAGCCACATTGCTCAGGTGAGCGATGTGACCCATGGGCCTCTTGTTTTAAAATGCTTTTAAGAAGTTTGATTCTCTTTCTGAGTTATCAACTCTGAATATTATATGGTAGATATATGGACCAGATGGGAAAATCATCCATCAGGGAGACAGGGAATCCAATGGAAAGTACACGTTTGCTGCCCACATGGATGGTGTTTACAGATACTGCTTTAATAACAAAATGTCCACTGTGACCCCAAAGATTCTCATGTTTACAATGGACATTGGAGAGAAACCGAAAGAGACTGATATGGATGGTGATGGTATGTATAATTTTGCTGAATTTAGTATAAATTTACTTGATTTTTCTGAGCTTTATGTGATATATATTAAATTATATAACATTTTTAGATAAGTTTTCCTATTATGTCACAAATGTAATAAGTTTTGCTATAAACCCTGAAAAATGCTGAATCAGAATGTAACTACGAGTGCTAAGTATCTTGTCTTAAAAATCGACAAAAACATCATTTTGGTTTCTAAAATAGACATTTCATTTAAACATTAGTAAGCCTGCACCTAGAAACATATCCACGCTTCAGCATGTTCAGTCTCTCGCTGAATTAGTAAGCAAAGTTGTCCATGTGATCAAGGAAATTCGGGATTATGTGACTAGCGACTGTCACTCAGAAAGACAAATAACCGCAATATCAACACTCAAAGATAGTTATGACAAAGCTAATGTACTTTCATAAATAGCCTAAGTTGCCATGTTTGTTCTGTTTAACTGTTTATTCAAAACCAGAGTTAAATTGATGACAAAATGCCAGAAAAGTAAAATTTGAGAATTTTTTTTAATGAATGTTGGTCATCCAACTTTTCCCAAAATGATGAAAATTTTCCCAATTTGAACGGCTCAAAAAGTGGTGTGAATGCCCTGATGTGAATTATTTTGTCCAGTGTTTGATAGAAACTGAAAGTTTGTTTTTGCAGTTTTCAAAGATTTTATCAGTCAACATCTCAATAACATTTCTAAAAAATAACTATAAAAGCTACACTTTTTTACATTTGATTTGAAAAAAAGGGGTATGTCTTTTAACCACAAGGAACCCCCAAATGCTTCCCAATGTCCCTTTTTGTACCTTATTCCTATAAGACTTTTTTAATAAGCCCTGTGTTAACCAAATTTGCAGGGATGGTACATCTAAGGATGTACACTTTCAGGCTTGCATCTAAAGGTAACTCTCAATGGCTCAAACTCCGATCTCTCGAAGTGAACCTTAGGGCTGTATCAATATATCGATACGTATTGATATTCAAGAAAAATATCATATCGAAAAATTTTTCTTCTAATTCTGCTAAAAAGATGGGAATTTTAATCAGCAAAGATTATATTTAACTTTTTTGAATTAAAACTGATCAATAATAACACATTTATTAGAGAAATAACACAGTTTTTATAGTTATTATAAATTGCATAACAATTTTATTTTAACATGTTGATTTTACAGTCATTAAAAGTTTCGATTGGAAGTGTTTTATTTACTGACTATTAGGGCTGGATCAATATATCGGTAATCGGTATATATCAATATTTTTTAGCAATACGATAACCGATACAGAGATGCTTGCATATTGCTCAATTATTTCAACGTTTAATCAAGAGAAAGAAAAATGTCAAAGTGACTAATATTACGAACGACTTATCTGAAATCGTTTAAACGCATGTAAACATGTCAAAAGTGTAGGGTCGCTACATAAAAGTTAGCAGCAAAAAGGCAAAATGTAATTATATTTGTCAACAAGAAGTCGCAAGTTCTGGTGGAACAACAAGCCTATATATTATTACCCATCTCAGATGGCATCGCAACATTGACCTGTTTGCTACTGTGAAATTTAAAGGCAATTCAGGTAGGTAAAATGGCGCGTCGAAAAAAAGTCATGGAATGTAAACCGATAATAAGATATCAATCAGAATTTTTAAGTCATAGTTTATTTTAACTCAAAGCAATTTGGTAAAATATTTTATCTGCCATTACTTCCACGAATACGACATAAAGTGAAGTATACACAGTCAAACAGGTCAATGTTGTGATGTCGTCTGTGGCTTCAGAACGAGTATTTAGCACCAGTGGCAACATATTTACATGCACAAGGACTTTTCTGAAACCTGACTAAGCGGATCGATGCCTTGATTTTTCTGAAGAAAAAAATGGGCAAATAACATTAATCTGTCATACACTTGTCCATTCAAAGAGAATGAAAAAAAAAAAACAAGGATTTAAAATGTTTTATTATTGTAAATTTATGCTTTAATCAAAAAATACTATCACGTCTTTAAAACAACATGCAAAAAATAGTGTATTCTCATTTGTCTGTATTGGCAATATGTATCGAAGATCGCACCTCTGTATTGCAATATGTATCGTATCTAAAAATTTCTTTCAATACCCAGCCCTACTGACTATGGGATAAGAACTTTGAAATGGGTAATAAAACACAAATTTTTTATGAAGTCCATACATTAAATGATTCATTAGCCTTTTTTGATGGACTTGTTTTAGAATCCAATATATCGCATATCGCTTTAAAAAATATTGAATCGTATTGAAATTTTTTGCTCAATACACAGCCCTAGTGAACCTCTGGTCCTGTTTTTTTCCCTCTTTATATCTAAGCAAATTTACTCCTGATATCTCGAAGTTCTCTATCTCTCGAACCAAAACATGGGTCCCGTTACACATATTTCATTGAATTTTACTCTCTACCTCTCGAAGTTTTGATTGCACGCATATACACACCAATCAAGCGTAAAATTGATGCAGCCTGGACTTACCTGGAAAACAGTTGAGGCCTGGGGCTGGCATGGAGGTGTTAACTGGGTGTTAACATCTGTGGGTCATCCGTGTGTTGATATAATTAATTGGTTATTATATTGGTAAATTATAAATGAATTCACAACTAATTTTGACTTGAAACCCAGACGATAATTTTTAGAAAATAATTTATAGACGTTCATTTATTAGTTTCCAAAGACTATGAACTTTTATTGGAGTCTACATAATACCAGCATTGCAAATATTGTACAAGAAATTCCTTTCTCTAGGACTGAATACCATTTAAAAACATCTGTTGAACACAGGTGAAGGACCCCATCAAGCCGCGAAATAGCCAAACTGACAATTGCTATTCGGGTTTCATGTAATCATGAAAAAATTAAGAACAAATGAATATTGAAACTTTAGGAATTTGTTTTATTTAGTCGAAATACCATTATTGCTGTTGATATCAAGTAAATTGTCTGTAAAATACGATTGAAAAATGTGAAATGACTTTATTTACATATACTTCCAGTATTTATAATAGCAGAACATCGATGATCGGAACTGAAAAATCCCATACATGTTAACCTATTGTGATGAAAAATAGGGAGATTCAGACCTCAAAAGCGATAGCATTGCGCGTGCGTTGTTTTACGCTTGGATTACCGACATTTTTCATGTAATATATACATGTATATATATAGCCTTAAATGAAACCTGCAACAAGTAAAATTGATGCAAAGCATCAAATCAGTCGCAAACAAAATTTAGCATTTAAAATAAATCCTTTCACATGCAAGGAAAGCACGTCAAGATATTCAAAGGTGAAAAAGTTAAATCCTTTTTATTTTAGACTGTCTTCAAAGCAAACACCAAAAAAACAATTTTAAAGAATTAAATAAATAGATATTTTTACCGCATTTGCTCATAAATAGATTGATCGATGTAAGAAAGAGTCAATGTTCATTGATGAATGACAAGAAATTATTGTCATCAAAACGAAGGTGTAGGCCTGTCAAAATGAACCACGTGGTGATACCCTGGATCTTGGTCACATGACATACAATGTATATCTGCATGCAGAGCAGGATCTTTCTGTCGTTTGAAGATGTACAGTCATGTAGAGCAAATGTAGAATAACTTTTACTGGTAGTTGAAAATCTTCTAAAAATTTTATTGCTATGCGTATTTACCTCATCATTATTATCTGGAAAATCATGACGGTTTACTTTCATATCTTACACACTCCCAGGCTGGGGAGTATCTAATGTAAACTCTTTTTATATAACCATAAATTATCAATTATCTGATAAGAAATGATAATTAAATTGAATTATAATAACAACATTTAGTAGTAAGTGTAAAGCAATTTTTTAAAATATTTTACTCATGATTTATACTTGATATCATTTAACTAAAGAATTATTTTATTGAAGTAATAAAAAAAATAACGTCTCGTTTCCCCATGTGCACTTTCTAACACAACCACAAATAGATCGGCCGCTGCTGATCTTAAATATCAACTGCAAAGAAGAAGACAGAAACACCTTAAGTTTGACATAAATTGTACAAATTCAAATATTTTTCATGCTCATCATTTTGCTTGGATTGGCTGTTTAACTTAGCCTTTTGAAGAGTGATCTTTTTAACAATATAGCCTAGAAGCAATAATTCTGAATGTTCATTCAGTTGTTAAACAAAACAAATGATGACATGGTTTAAACTAGATCTAAAACAAGTTTCTATCTTTCGTTATTTAAATCAGATTTCCTGCGATGATTGAAAACGAAAGTAGAGATGTGCCACATGGCTTGGTCAATCGAGTGATTTCTATTTACTTTATTGATAAAATTGTGAGCTCCTGTGCTTTTATAGATGATGCCAAACATTTTCATCTAATTATTATAAGCTGTTTCTCCTTTTTCATGGCAGTGATGTTGACTAAATTTATCGTAACCAATGTAATCACTGGTAGTCTTGTGCTGTTGTCGTTTTCAAATTTGTGCTTGAAATCTATGTACACATCGATACAAAAAAAGCATTTGTATGCTTCTGAGTCAAATCACGCAATATCTAACGAGATAAATTTATGAGAGTAGCTTCAAAAATGGATACCGAAGCGAACCAAAAATACTTTAGACGCAACTTTTTTAGAAAAGTGGTAGATTTCTGAATTAAATCGGTAGGCAGGAGATGGAGTGAAAAAGCGGTAGACTCCCGCCTAAATCGGTAGAGTTAACAAGTATGAAAATCCGGATTTTATTTACTTTCTATTTCTCGAACCCCCCAATCTCTTGAACTTTTCTTGAGGTCCCTTGAACTTTGAGAGATTGAGAGACACCTGTAGATTTTCCAGATGAGTGATTTTGGGATGTACACTTCTAAATTAAATTTACTAGTTTAATGTGGGAGATAGAGTAAAATCATAGCATAATTTTTGGGGTATAGGTCAATACTTTTTTCTGAGAAATGATGGGGTTACTCTATTTTAAAGATTGACTTTCTAAGACTCAAGTTTATGAAAAATGAACCTAAATTGGTAAAATTTGGGTCAATTTAAAACAAATTTGTATAATTTTCGTAACTTTTTAATGAATTTGTCAGAGACCAGAAGAGCTTATGTGATACTAATGCGTCCGGCGTCCGTCTGTCTAGCTGTATACAATTTTTCAAAATGCTACTCTTCCTATAGTTTTCGTCTGATTTCAGTATAACTTGACACACAAATAGACTAAGATACATAATTCTGTATATCAGTTTTTGAATTCTATGAAGGGTGTTGTTGTGGTTACTAACAATAGAAAGAGGTAGGTTCACAAACCCCATAAAATGGCCCTGTCATTATACCAATAAACTGACCAAGTCGGCCCTGTCATTATACCAATAAACTGACCAATTCCTTACGTCCCATTTCGAACATCAACATAATGTGGAGACTTCTTGCTTTCATTTCCTATATAAAAAAATTCCTCTGGGAGTCCATGTTCTGATATGCAGGCTATGTGAAACTACAATGTTCTTGAATTTTGAAGAAAATTAGTGAATTTGAGCATCTTCAATTATTGATTAAAATATGAGCACACCCCAAGATCCAAAAATTGTTTCATGGATTAGAATCTTTCGCAACAGTTATTTCATTATATAGTTAAACATATTAGATCGGAGGTTGGGGGTTATGCAAAATATTCAAAAATGCTGAAAATTATGGCTATTTTTAAAGAATTTTTCGAGATTTGAGCAAAATGACGCAATTCATGACGTCATAATACACAGACAAGAGAAAAAAGTACGTCATTTTTAGCTCTACTGGTCAGAGACCAGAAGAGCTTATGCGATAGTAATGCGTCCGTCCGTCTGTCTGTCTGTCTGTCTGTCTGTCAGTCTGTAAACAATTTTTCAAAATGCTACTCCTCCTACAGTTTTGGTCTGATTTCAATATAACTTGGCACACAAGTAGACTACACTAAGATACATAATTCTATGTATCGGTTTTTGATTTCGATGAACAGTGTTGCCGTGGTTACTAAAAATAGAAATTTCTGTGAAATTCTTTCAAAATGCTACTCCTCCTACAGTTTTAGTCTGATTTCAATATAACTTGGCACACAAGTAGACTACACTAAGATACACAATTCTGTGTATTGGTTTTTGATTCCGATGAATGGTGTTGCCGTGGTTACTAAAAATAGAAATTTCTGTGAAATTCTTTCAAAATGCTACTCCTTATACAGTTTTAGTCTGATTTCAATATAACTTGGCACACAAGTAGACTACAATAAGGTACATAATTCTTTGTCTCGGTTTTTGATTTCGATGAACGGTATTGCTGTGGTTACTAAAAATAGAAATTTCTGTGAAATTCTTTCAAAATGCTACTCCAAATACAATTTTAGTCTGATTATGATATAAATGTGGCATGCAAGTAGACTGCACTAAGAACATAAAGAGACTTAATCAAGGATCATTATTCTATTTATTGCTGTTGAAAAGTTTCAATTTCCAACTGCTTAAATACTTTTCTCTTCCTTTGCTATAAGTACAAACCAGTAGAGCTTCAGTCTCAACAGAGACTTCTGGTTATTTGATATGAAGTTACAAAGGGTCCAAGTGAAATTTAACATATTTTAAACTAAAAATGAGCTGTTCTGATTTTTCAGAAATTCACAGGGCCAAAAGAGGCCAAAGATGAACCTTGATCTTTCTGTGAAATTCCGTTAAAATGGTACTCGTAGTACAGTTTTGGTCTGATTTTAATGTAACTTGGCACACAAGAAGACTACACTAAGATAAATAATTCTATGTATCAGTTTTAGATTTCTATGAGCGGTTTTGCCATTGTAAATAAATATAGAAATTTCTGTGAAATACTTTTAAAAGGCTACTCAAAATACTGTTTTAGTCTGATTATTATAATATAATTTAGCATGCAAGTAAACTACACTGAGATACATAATGTTGCCATGGCAAGTAAAATAGAAAATTATGTAAATTTTTATTAAAAGCTACTCCTACAGCTGAAGGCTTAAATTGCAATCTTGCCACAAAAAGAGACGTAATCAAGCATCATTACTCTATTTACTGTATACAGGGAAATTTTCGCCCCCATTTTATTTTCGCCCCTTTTGCCCTCTCCTTGATCGGGCGAATTTAAAACGGGGCGAATTCAACTTACATCTCAAAATTTCTTAAACAGAACTATGACTGGGCGAATTTAAAATGGGGCAAAATTGTTCACAAGTTCAAAAGGGCGAAAATAACATGGGGCGAAAATAACCCTGTATGCAGTATTGCTTTTGTAAAGTTTTATGTCCCAACTGCTACTTATCTCTTCCTTTATTATAAGTACAAACCAGTAGAGCTACCATCTCGACTGAGAATTCTGGTTTCTATTTGGGTTCACTATAGGGTTTGTGATGCACTTAATTATGTTGTGATGCTCTAAATTAATGTTCTAAACGAGATTGTTATGATTTGAAACTTGCTGGATAACTTTATAGTGACAAATACAAATATAGATCAAGTTGGATTTTTTGGTATAAAGTTGTTTTTAACCAAGTAAAATGAGATTGTTCTGAGCTGTTCTGATCAAAGCTTGCATGGGTGTTAAATGGCATTCAAAGACGTCATCTTTCTTTGCAAGGGAGATCAACTTAATTCCAAGACATTTCATTCATAAACAAGTAATAACCAAAATTTCCACATTTTCGTGGGGATTTTTCATACACAGTGTCTAATAAAATGAAACCTTAAAGAGAAAAGGGAATCCCAGAAGGGACATGTATTGCTTATGCAATACTCTCAGAATGCTTGTTATTTTTTACCCTGGTCGTAAAAATGCACTTATTAATTTGGTAAAGAAGAGCAGTCATTTTTTTTTGTTTGTTTAAAAAACAATACCCACTAGTTCTTTTTCTTAAATTTGATGCAAATGTAATGTCTTTCACCATTTTTTCTTAGCCAATCATAACAAGCTGACAGAAATGATAAATGAATTGTCTACAGCACTGACAGGTGTTAAACATGAACAAGAGTATATGGAAGTCAGAGAGAGGATCCACAGAGCAAGTAAGGCATTCAAACTTAAGTTGTTGTAGGGTGAGCCAAAGGCTCAAGTGAGCTTTTCTGATCACAATTTGTCCATTGTCTGTCGTCGTTGTTGTAAACTTTTCACATTTTCGACTTCTTCTCAAGAACCGCCTGGGCCAATTTCAACCAAACTTGCCACAAAGCATCCTTGGGTGAAGGGGATTCAAGTGTGTTCAAATGAAGGGCCACACCCTCATTCAAGGGGAGATAATTGGGGATTAATGAAAATTTGGTGGTATCTTTTAAAAATCTTCTTCTCAAGAACCACTGTGCCAGGAAAGATGAAACTTATGGGGAAACATCCTCAGGTAGTGTAGATTCAAATTTGTTCAAATCATGACCCCCGGGGGTAGGGTGGGGCCACAATCGCCGACCAAAGTTTTACATAGAAATATATAGGAAAATTCTTGAAAAATCTTCTTCTCAAGAAAACCAAAGCCATAATTGATCATATTTATATGGAAGCATCCTCAGGTAGTGTATATTCAATTTCTTCAAATCATGACCCCCGGGGGTAGGGTGGGGCCACAATCGCCGACCAAAGTTTTACATAGAAATATATAGGAAAATTCTTGAAAAATCTTCTCAAGAAAACCAAAGCCATAATTGATCATATTTATATGGAAGCATCCTCAGGTAGTGTAGATTCAAATTTGTTCAATCATGACCCCTGGGGATAGGGCGGGGCCAAAATGGCCAACCAAAGTTTTACATAGAAATATATAGGAAAATTCTTTAAAGAATAGCAAAGCCATAATTGATCATATTTATATGGAAGCATCCTCAGGTAGTGTAGATTCAAGTTTGTTCAAATCATGACACCCGGGGGTAGGGCGGGGGCACAAGGGCCGACCAAAGTTTTACATAGACAAAAATAGGAAAATTCTTTAAAAATCATCCTATCAAGAATAGCAAAGCCATGATTGGTCATGGGACTACTTTTGGATATAAACTATTCAATAATAAACTAATTTCTACTTTTTCCCAGCCACAGTGCTGAGGTGAGCAATGTGGCCCATGGGCCTCTTGTTTCAGTAGTCAGACTGTCAGAACATTAAATGGAGTTACCCAATTGAATTTTATTTAGATTTTTTGAAGAACTTTTGAACATATTTAATGGTACTAACTTTGCTAAATTCTGGGTTTTTTTTAACCCACCAAGCCAGCTTTCCTTTTTATACCCCCCACAAACGAAGTTTGGGGGGTATATAGGAATCAGCTTGTCCGTCTGTCTAGCTGTCTGTCTGTGCAAAATTGTCCGGTCCATATCTTTCTTAGGGAGGAAATTAGAGTCTCTTACTCCACACAAAGATTCCTCATGACCTAAGGTTGTGTCATGATCTTGACCTAAGGTCATTTGGGGAAGTTCAAGATCACTGGAAGAAAAAATTCATAATTCGTGTCCGGTCCATATCTTTCTTATGGATAAACTTGGTAGGTTCTCATTCACACAAAGATTGCTCGTGACCTAAGGGTGTGTCATGACCATGACTCAAGGTCATTTGGGGAAGTTCAAGGTCACTGGAAGAAAAATTTCGTAATTTGTGTCCGGTTCATATCTTTTTTATGGATAGACTTGGTGAATTTCACATTCTGAAGACGTCACCTCGAATCAGTACTTTCAGTACTTTGATTATGGAGGTGCATAAATGCTCTGCTCTTCAACGCTCGAAATGTTTTCACATCCACTGATCCAATCTGGCCAGACATTTTGGGTTTTATTGACTGGTATTGTTTATTTGTGCAAGCCAGACCTCATAAATTTTCATTTCACATGCTGAATACTATCATTTAGTAAAGAAAAAAGTATTTTGAAAAAAAAGAAAATGGATCATCCGGTATTCGAACCCAGGACCTCTCACTTGTGAGAGAGTGTTTCAGACAGATAGAAAGACGGACAGACGGACCCAAATTAATATCCCCCACTTTTCAAGCGGGGGACAAAAAGTTTGTTCATCATTGGAGCTAATGACAAATGCAGGTGGTGTCCCCCAATCACCTGTTCGAGCCAATTTTTAACGACATATACTGTCAAATTAGCACAATAGTCAATACGTCAGAGTATCAAGTGTCCTTTCATGCAAATTGATCAATGTTGTCGCATTTTTTGATGAAATGTAAAATTTCCTACTGAATTCCAAAGGCAGACATGACTGAGTATTTAAAATAAAATGAAAAATGGGGCGGGAATTGGAACGAACATTTCTGGAAGTGGGAAATTTAAAATAATATTTTTTAGGTTTCTCTTAAATACGAGCGCAGGTCGGATGAACAGGAAATTTTATTGGTGTGGCCTTGGTCCTATTGAATTCAAAATGTGATTTTATTGTATTTTCAAATGTTAATAAAATTTGATTTAATTAAATGTTGTAAATTTAGTCTATGAGTTTCATTTGTGTATATTATTTACATATTATTTCAAGAAAAAGATAGTATTTAAAAATGTTGCAGCACATGTGCATGTTTTTAAATGTTATAATTCATGTTTTGATTATTTGTTTGATACTCTCTTTTTCAGTCAATGAAAACACCAATTCCCGGGTTGTTCTGTGGTCTTTCTTTGAAGCCCTTGTGCTAGTGGCTATGACTTTGGGACAGGTCTATTATTTAAAGAGATTCTTTGAAGTCAGAAGAGTAGTTTAGTTATGACAAACTGTATACAATTCTTCAACCATTCATATTCCATTTGAAATACAATATATTGAATAAGTGATTTGGTATAATTGTTTTGGCCAGAGCCTTGAAATAGTTATAGGCCTAAAAAATTAAGATTAGTGACTTGGTTCTCATGCCCGGGTGAATCTCATTTAACAATGACCAATGCTCAATTTTATCCTCAAATGAATGAAATAAAATTCCTTTGATGCGCTCATGCCGTGCATAAAAAAGTTTAGAATTTCTAACTGCATTTTAGAATCATTAAAATGTTTGACAAACATTGAGTTGATCAAGATGATCATAACTATTTGCCTAGCCAAAAAATAGCAAATATGACCATTGTTGTTAACAGGTTAAGGCATCAAGATTAAGTTTGGTCATGAAGGATTCACTTCAGTGCAAATTCATAAGGCATAAGGGAATGACTGTAATAATTCCATGGCACATAGTGAGGGTTTCTGAATGTTGTTCCATGCTATAACTTCATAACGCTATCAAAGACGGCTTCCTCAATCTTGGAACTTGGACATCAGCAAGATTCACAGATTTCATTTAGTGTGGGCAAAAAAAAAGACAAAATTGACGTTTGATAAAATCACAAGCGCTATTTATATTGTAGAAATACTCTTAGATTAGTTGTGTTGCGTAAACAATTGACCAGATGCATCACTAAAAGTGTTGAATTCTCTAAGTTTCATTACACAAATCATCAAAATGTAGAAGATGCAGGAAAAAGGAGCAGGGAACAAATATTCCTGATTTCTACAGTCAATATTGAATCACTGTTGATCAAAAGTTGCTAGTTTTAAAATTATATAAAAAAAATTTTTTAATTCCGCGTCTGTTTTATATGAGCTAAAAAATGGGGGGAGGGGGTCCTCCTTCCTGCATTCATTTTGGGAAAAAACTGGCCTGAGAACCAAGTTATTCATATTTTTTGCCTTTAATTCTTTTAGCTCACAAGTGAGCTTTTCTGATCATGTTTTGTATGGTGTCTGTCTGTCTAGCTGAGAAGCTGTCCGTCTGTCTTCTCAAGAACCACTTGGCCAATTTCAACCAAACTTGCCACAAGTATCCTTGGATGAATGAGATTCAAGTTTTTTCAAATGAAGGGCCAGCAACCTCTTTCAAGGGGAGATAATTATGAATTAGTGAAAAAATATTGTCATATTTTAAAAATCTTCTTAAGAACCACTGGGCCAGGAAAGCTGAAACTTATGTGGAAACATCCTCAGGTAGTGTAGATTCAATTTTTTCTTTTAAATCATGAACCCCTGAGGGTAGGTTGGACCAGAATGGACAATAAAGAACTTTATTCGGTAATAACCAATATTTGCCCCCCAAATCAAACTTTGGTGGAAATATATTTAATTAAGTTCTTAAACAGGGGTGTATATGCTGACTTCAAAGCACTGAATATTTTCATGAGTAATGACGCCATATGTACGCAATGACGTCACAAACATGACGTAAATTTCAGTTTTTGATGAATTTTACAGAAAAATGTACATATTTCGTCGATATTTTAAGTAAAAGTCACCGAGCGCATGTGTGTTCAGGATCAATATTTTGATATAATGTGCAGAATGATAATATCAATGAAATATGTCAATATTGTTCCTGAACAAACTTGCGCTCTATAAAATTTAAAGCTAAAATTGTTGAAATTTTGTCCATTTTGTCCTTTTTCTGAAAAAGGATATAAAATCGGACTAGTTTGTGACGTCATAAAAACAAAAATTGTGAATACACTGCTTTGACACTATAATATTTTCTGTTAATTTATATTTCTCATACAGTTTATTGAATTCAGCACATTTCAGGAAGTTTTCAAAATTTAACTTTTATGGGGGCAAATATATGCAATATACCGCATGTAGTTCTTTTACATAGGAATACATTGAAAAATTCTTTAAAACTCTTCTTCTCAACAACAGCAATGCCTTGATTAATCATATTTAAATGGAAGCATACGTCAGGTAGTGTTGTTTCAGGTTTGTTCAACTCATGACCTATGGGGATAGGATGGGGCATCAAATCTGATTTTAATATATAGGAAAATATCATTAAGAATCTTCTCTTAAAGAACAGTAAAGCAATGATTGGTCAAATTATAATGGAAGCATCCTCATTTAGTGTAGATTCAAATTCGTTCAAATCATGACAACTGGGGGTAGGGTGGGAAACAATGAATGATTAAAGTTCTACATAGGAATACATTGAAAATTCTTTAAAACTCTTCTTTGTTATACCAGCAAAGCCATCATAGGCCATCATATCTTTATGGAAGCATCCTCACATAGTGTTCTTTCAAGTTTGTTCAATTCATGAACTTGGGGGGGGGGCAAAAAAGGCAGATCAAATTTTTACATAGTATTGTTAAGAAAAATTCTTTATCTTAAAAGAAGATGAAAGCCATGATTAATCATATTGATATAGAGGCATCCTCAGGTAGTGTTAAATCAAATTTGTTCAAAGAAGGCCCCTGGGGTAGGGCTGGGCCACAAGGGGGATCAAAGTTTTGCAAATGAATAAATAGGAAAAAATCCTGTGCTCAAGAACAGCAAGGCTATTTCTTTTATTGATAGGAAAGAATCATAAGGTGCAGGGTTTGACATCAAGCTTTTGGAATACTAGACCAGTCGGGCTACTCTGGCAAATTTTTACTAGCTCCGACCCTTTAACCACTAGCCCTGACCAAACTTAAGAAAAAATATTTAAGCACAAAATAGTGAAAATTTATGAATAACCCTATTTATAATCTGTTTAATTTTGTTTGTTTATCTTTACCAATGTATTCTATATTTTAATAACGAAATTTTCCCGCAAACATGTCAACATCGAAAGTATGTCATATACATGCGGCTTGTTAAGTTGTTATGTTTAGTCCTAACTTAACTTAATCAACTTGTGCACAATATTAAGACGCTACCAATAAAATGTTCAGAGAATTAAAGTATATTAAAAATAATAATATTATTATTATATAGTTTTATTGCCATTTATACCGTTGACAGATGTCGTAAAAGTGAATCTTTCGACAATGACAATCGTAACTACTCAGCCATTTCCACGAATGATAAATAGCTTATTGTTTTTGTTCCTATTTAGGAAAATGGACGAGTAGTTACGAATGCCTACAATGACTGCTGTTCGATCATGCTGTCTGTTACGTATGTAGTTTTCTTTCTACTCTGCGGTTAGAAATGTTTTAATTAGGTCACCTGAGTAAACTCAGGTGACCTATTGCTATCTGTTTTCGTCCGTCGTCGTGCGTCGTGCGTTGTGCGTTAACATTTGAACATTTTCAGCTTCTTCTCTGCAACCACTGAACCAATTTCAACCAAATTTGGCATAAAGCATCTATGGGTGAAGGGGAACAAAAATTGTGAATTTCATGATCCCTGCCCCCCTGGGGCCTGTGGGGTGGGGCCAAAACCACTAAAATTAGTGCAATCTTTAAAAATCTTCTTCTTTACTCCTGGACATCAAGCAGTCAAACTGTTTGCATGATTTTAATCAGTAATGAGTCCTCTACCAAAATTGTGAAATTCATGGCCCTGGGGTCAGGGGTTCTAGTGCCGGGGCTTAGGTAGTGAAAATGCATTATTTCTTTGAAAATCTTCTTCTCTGCTCCTGGGTATTAAATAAACCAACTAAGTACATAGTTAAGATGAGCAAGAGTGCCTCTACCAAAATTGTGAATTTTATGGCCCCAGGGTCAGGGGTTCTGGTGTTAGGGTTGGGCTCTATTGATTATATAGTGAAAATACATGAATTCTTTGAAAATCTTCTTCTCTGCTCCTGTGTATTAAATAAACTAACTTAGTACATAGTTATGATGAGCAAGAGTGCCTCTACCAAAATTGTGAATTTTATGGCCCCAGGGTTTCTGGTGTTAGGGCGGGGCACTATTGATTATATAGTGAAAATACATGAATTCTTTGAAAATCTTCTCCTCTGCTCCTGGGTATTATATAAACTAACTAAGTGCATAGTTATTATGAGCAAGAGTGCCTCTACCAAAATTGTGAATTTTATGGCCCCAGGGTCAGGGGTTCTGGTGTTAGGGCGGGGCTCTATTTTATTTCCTGGGTATTAAATAAACTAACTAAGTGCATAGTTATGATGAGCAAGAGTGCCTCTACCAAAATTATGAATTTTATGGCCCCAGGGTCAGGGGTTCTGGTGTTAGGGTTGGACTGTATTGATTATATAGTGAAAATACATGAATACTTTGAAAATCTTCTCCTCTGCTCCTAGGAAATAAATAAACAAACTAAGTGCATAGTTATGATGAGCAAGAGTGCTTCTACCAAAATAATGAATTTTATGGCCCCAGGGACAGGGGTTCTGGTGTTATGGTGGGACTGTATTGATTATATAGTGAAAATACATGAATTCTTTGAAAATCTTCTCCTCTGCTCCTAGGAAATAAAAAACTAACTAAGTATATAGTTATGATGAGCAAGAATGCCTCTTCCAGTATTGTAAATTTTATAGTCCCAGGGTCAGGGGTTCTGGTGTTAGGGCGGGGCTCTATAGATTATATAATGAAAATACATTAATTCTTTGAAAATTTTCTTCTCTGCACCTGGGTATTATATCAACTAACTAAGCACATAGTTATGATGAGCAAGAGTGCCTCTACCAAGGGTATTAAGCAGATGAACTACCAATATATGATGGACAAGGGCCATATCTTCCACAATTGTGAATTTCAAGGCCCCAGGGTCAGGGGTACTATAGAAGGGGGGGGGGGGAGGGGGTTGTACTTATATACTGAAAATGAATGAATGGTTTGAAATCTGCTCCTTGATATTAATCAAATATCAAGGCCTAAGGTCAGGGGTTCATGTATGGTAGGGGCACTACTGATTATTGCTGAATATTACTGATTAGTTGAAATGCATTTTGTGTTCCCTTACCCTGCATATGGGTACTAAGTAAACAAACTAAGCAACTGCTAAGTGTATTGTTATGATGATCAATGGTGCCTCTTTCAAAATTGTGAATGCCATAGCATCTGGCTTAAAAAAGTAATTCACTGGAAAGTTGTTGCATAATGCTCAGGTGACCTATAAGGCCCATGGGCCTCTTGTTTTATTTTTCATTAACAGTAAATTTTATTTGAAAATATATAAAAAGTTCCTTTATTTTTCTCACATGACCAGTCGGTCTAGTACACAGACATTTTACCCAACCGGACCCATCTTTTACTAGACTCAGTCGGTCGGACGTGCCTTAATGTCAAACCCTGAGGTGGTTTAAAATTCTATCCCCCTCCCTAGCTGTATGTAGATTTTTCATTTTTTTCTTTTTTCCTAGCCAATGTGCTCAGGTGAGTGATGTGGCCCATTGGCCTCTTGTTTTTATTACTGGGATTAGAATTTTTTTAAATATGGAGAAAAAAATATATTATTAAGGTCCATGCTCACTCTATTCACTACCATCTAATTTATAATTGTTCACAGTTTTGGGATACCTTGTGATGCAAAATTTTACAAAATTAAGTGTTATTGTTAACTTGATGATTGTACAAAGAAATTAATGCAATTTATTCCAATGAGAGTTACCTCTCATATCAAAGGGTCAGTGCACTGAAGTTAAAGCACAATTGATGAAGAAAAAAGATCAATACATGTACGAAAGTGTCTTGAGATAGCTTTAGTGTAAATAATCATTCTGAAGATCATTCACTTGTATTTCTTGACTCGCTTTTTGTATGTTTGTTTATATTAAGGAGTGAATGGTTATAGTGCTGAATCTGTGTGTCTGTGTCAACTTTGATGAGCAAGTGTCATAACAAAAAAAAATGTAGCTTAACAGTTGTTTAATTTATACAAAGGCTTAATCATCAATTATGTTTGAAAACAAGTCAATTACTTTGTACCATTACAAGAAAATATTTATGTAATTTTACTAGTCAGTAAAGTTGTCAAAATGAAATGTTAAGCATGTTTTTAAAAGTTGTTATGTGATCAGTGTAAATTAATGCCTTGTATGTCTATACATACCAATTGAGCTACAGTTTCATCTCTGTTCTGTATAAATTTTCTTTCACTATAGGTGTAGGACCTATCATAGGGATAGTTTTTTTAAATTCATTTATTTTGTTGTTAAATGAAAATCATGCTGCATCATAAAGAGTTGTACTTTAAGGTAAAGTCTTGAAAATAATGGCAAAACTAGCCAGAGCAAATTGAAAAGTCTTAAGTTTAATATTAAAATCATTTATAATCTCATTTAATAGAAATTATAGCATGTTATAAATGAAAAATGTAGATGAAAAAGTTCATATATTTGGATTATTAATTAAGCTGTGCTATGTTTTATTTCAAATGTTTACTTCTAAATGGGATGAAATATTTGCTTATTTGATTCAGGTTGATTAAAGCTGAAGCTTGATTTTGGATGCTGTGTCTTTTTGTTGCATTCCTTCAAATAAATAAAATTCCATGAAGAAGAAATACATGTACCATTTTGCTTTATTTATTGGTATCCAATGTGAAAAAATTTCATCTCCAGTTGTCTGTCCATTTGCTGAAATAGTGTAGCTTTCTCCATAACTGTTTTGTTTACATGTATCTCCTGAAACCATCAGATTAAAATTGGAGTTTGTTACATTATCGCAACTATCTATTCATCTGTATGTAACTCCTTTTACATATGTTTAGGTTTAACTTTGTGGAATCGGATTGTTTATCACATTTATGTTTGGTAGATATGCAGATTATTTTGCAGTCATGCAGATCACTGGTATTTATATTGAAGTTATGACCTCAAGTCTTTATTTGCAAGTATATCTGTTAACTGTTGTAAATACACTATTTTATGGTGGCCTATTTATGCCATCCACATAACTTTTTGTTAACATAGCATATCATGTCAAATCAAGATATGTATCTCGTCAAGTCATGATAACTTTCTGGTTTGTTGTCAAACACCGACTTTTATCTTGTCAAGTCAAGATAAGCTATCACGTTTTGTTGCAATAGCTATCTTGACATGACGAGATAACTTTTAATTGCGAAACAACATAAATTATCTCACTTTGTCGAGATAGCTATCGCAAAAAATACGATAGCTTTTCTTGACTGTACAAGATAAAAGACAGTGTTTGACGACAAACCAGAAAGTTATCATGACTTGACGCAATAGTTATCTTCACTTGACGTAATATCTTATGTTGACAAAGAATTATGTGGATGGCATAAATATGCCACCATACTATTTGATATCAAAAAGAAACCATTTTTAGCTCTACTGGTCAGAGACCAGAAGAGCTTATGCGATAGTAATGCGTCCGTCGTCCGTCCGTCTGTCTGTCTAGCTGTCTGTCTGTCCGTCTGTCTGTCTGTAAACAATTTTTCAAAATGCTACTCCTCCTACAGTTTGGTCTGATTTCAATATAACTTGGCACACAAGTAGACTACACTAAGATACATAATTCTATGTATCGGTTTTTGATTTCGATGAACGGTGTTGCCGTGGTTACTAAAAATAGAAATTTCTGTGAAATTCTTTCAAAATGCTACTCCTCCTACAGTTTGGTCTGATTTCAATATAACTTGGCACACAAGTAGAGTACACTAAGATACACAATTCTGTATATCGGTTTTTGATTTCGATGAACAGTGTTGCCGTGATTACTAAAAATAGAAATTTCTGTGAAATTCTTTCAAAATACTACTCCTCCTACAGTTTTAGTCTGATTTCAATATAACTTGGCACACAAGTAGACTACACTAAGATACACAATTCTGTGTATCGGTTTTTGATTTCGATGAACGGTGTTGCCGTGGTTTACTAAAAATAGAAATTTCTGTGAAATTCTTTCAAAATGCTACTCCTTATACAGTTTTAGTCTGATTTCAATATAACTTGGCACACAAGTAGATTTCAATATAACTTGGCACACAAGTAGACTACAATAAGATGCATAATTCTGTTTATCGGTTTTTGATTTCGATGAACGGTGTTTCGTGGTTACTAAAAATAGAAATTTCTGTGAAATTCTTTCAAAATGCTACTCCTTCTACAGTTTTAGTCTGATTTCAATATAACTTGGCACACAAGTAGACTACACTAAGATACATAATTCTATTTATCGGTTTTTGATTTTGATGAACGGTGTTGCCGTGGTTACTAAAAATAGAAATTTCTTTGAACTTCTTTCAAAATGCTACTCCTTCTACAGTTTTAGTCTGATTTCAGTATAACTTGGCACACAAGTAGACTACACTAAGATACACAATTCTGTATATCAGTTTTTGATTTCGATGAACTGTGTTGCCGTGGTTACTAAAAATAAAAATTTCTGTGAAATTCTTTCAAAATGCTACTCCTTATACAGTTTTAGTCTGATTTCAATATAACTTGGCACACAAGTAGACTACAATAAGATACATAATTCTGTATATCGGTTTTTGATTTCGATGAACGGTGTTGCCGTGGTTACTAAAAATAGAAATTTCTGTGAAATTCTTTCAAAATGCTACTCCTCCTACAGTTTGGTCTGATTTCAATATAACTTGGCACACAAGTAGACTACACTAAGATACACAATTCTGTATATCGGTTTTTGATTTCGATGAACAGTGTTGCCGTGATTACTAAAAATAGAAATTTCTGTGAAATTCTTTCAAAATACTACTCCTCCTACAGTTTTAGTCTGATTTCAATATAACTTGGCACACAAGTAGACTACACTAAGATACACAATTCTGTTTATCGGTTTTTGATTTTGATGAACGGTGTTGCCGTGGTTTACTAAAAATAGAAATTTCTGTGAAATTCTTTCAAAATGCTACTCCTTATACAGTTTTAGTCTGATTTCAATATAACTTGGCACACAAGTAGACTACAATAAGATACATAATTCTGTGTATCGGTTTTTGATTTCGATGAACGGTGTTGCCGTGGTTACTAAAAATAGAAATTTCTGTGAACTTCTTTCAAAATGCTACTCCTTCTACAGTTTTAGTCTGATTTCAGTATAACTTGGCACACAAGTAGACTACACTAAGATACACAATTCTGTGTATCAGTTTTTGATTTCGATGAACGTTGTTGCCGTGGTTACTAAAAATAGAAATTTCTGTGAAATTCTTTCAAAATGCTACTCCTTATACAGTTTTAGTCTGATTTCAATATAACTTGGCACACAAGTAGACTACAATAAGATACATAATTCTGTATATCGGTTTTTGATTTCGATGAACGGTGTTGCCGTGGTTACTAAAAATAGAAATTTCTGTGAAATTCTTTCAAAATGCTACTCCTTATACAGTTTAAATCTGATTTCAATATAACTTGGCACACAAGTAGACTACAATAAGATACATAATTCTGTGTATCGGTTTTTGATTTCGATGAACGGTGTTGCCGTGGTTACTAAAAATAGAAATTTCTGTGAACTTCTTTCAAAATGCTACTCCTTCTACAGTTTTAGTCTGATTTCAGTATAACTTGGCACACAAGTAGACTACACTAAGATACACAATTCTGTGTATCAGTTTTTGATTTCGATGAACGTTGTTGCCGTGGTTACTAAAAATAGAAATTTCTGTGAAATTCTTTCAAAATGCTACTCCTTATACAGTTTTAGTCTGATTTCAATATAACTTGGCACACAAGTAGACTACAATAAGATACATAATTCTGTATATCGGTTTTTGATTTCGATAAACGGTGTTGCCATGGTTACTAAAAATAGAAATTTCTGTGAAATTCTTTCAAAATGCTACTCCAAATACAATTTTAGTCTGATTATAATATAAATGTGGCATGCAAGTAGACTGCACTAAGAACATAAAGAGACTTAATCAAGGATCATTATTCTATTTATTGCTGTTGAAAAGTTTCAATTTCCAACTGCTTAAGTACTTTTCTCTTCCTTTGCTATAAGTACAAACCAGTAGAGCTTCAGTCTCAACAGAGACTTCTGGTTCTCAAATGCAATTCATGGTGGCATATTTATGCCATCCACATAACTTTTTGTTAACATAGCATACGATGCCAAGTCAAGATAACTTTCTCGTCAAGTCGTGATAACTTTCTTGTTTTTCAACAAAATCGACCAGAAAGTTATCATGACTTGACGAGATAGTTATCTTGACTTGACATGATATGCTATGTAGACAAAAAAATTTTGTGGATGGCATAAATATGCCACCATACAATTCAAATATGTTGATACCAAAAGAAAGGCCTTCTAACAAGAAATACAAATGTGAGATATAAAACCCTAGTACCAGCGGTTCAAATGTTATGGCCAACAACACTAAGGTAGGTCCAACTCTGGGGTCGCGGTCAAAGGGTCAAGGCTAAAGAAAGGTCTTGTCACAAAGATTACATATGGGAAGTATGGAAGCCCTAGCCCAACCGCTTAAAAGTAATTGCCAAGGAAAAGTTTTTAAAAAGGAGGTCAAACTCCAAGGTCAAAGAAGTTGTTGATATCCAATGAAAGGTCTTGTCACAAGAATTACAAACATGTATATGAAGTGTGAAAGCCCTAACCGTTCAAAAATTATGGCCAAAGTAATTTTTTAAGTAGGTCAAGGTCTAATGGATAAAATTGTTGGTATCCAATGAAAGGTCATGTCTTAAAGAATACATACTAGTATGTGAAGTTTGAAAGTCCTAGACCAACTGTTTAAAAGTTATTACCAAGGTTAATGTTTTAACGAGGTTCCTCAGCTTTTCAGAAAACTTGTCTTGATTCTATTTAAGAAATTCTACATAATGTTTTAGTTCTTACAATAAATTCGGATTCTATTATGCTAATTAAACTATATTTAATTAAAACCCCATGATGAAATTCAATACCAAACACATTTGGTGAGGAACTATATTTTGTGGCGGGAGGTTTTTTTTTTTAGAGGAAAAAAAGATCAATTTTTAATTCTTCTTTTGAAGTATTCAGAATTGTAAAGTGTGGATTCCTATTTTTACATTCAGTCTGCGCAAAGAGTAATTTTGTCCAACGAAATGTTTTATACTGGTCGTAAATTATAACTTTCATGAATTATATCCTATTTAAGAAATTATCCCAAATATATTGTGAAAAGCCTTGGAAAGAATAGCCCAGTTTATGCTTAAAATAAGCACTATTTTAGCAATTTCTAAAAATTAACATCACAGATCCCCACTTTCCATTTCATTTTCTGAATATAAAAGATAGTTTATACCACTCCATACAAATTCCGAAAAATGTCATTACTTTCAAATGATTTAATTGCTTTTTAAATTTTTAACACCAGAAAAATAACATTTCTGAGTGCAGAAAGGTGAAATAATTGACAATGCGAAGTAATTTGAGACTATTTTCGTTGTCACAATTTATAGTGTGACTCTTTAAGATGAAAAAAGATGTTTTATCCGATAATTCATTTGAATAAAAAATATTAAAGAGAAATTAAAATTGATATAAATACTGGCGTAACTATTGTGCATATTAATTGCTCCATATA